ACTAAAAAGTCTTCTTTTAGTGGGGAAAAACATACAATAATAATATATAATTCAGGTGCAAACAGTAAGAAGTACATGTTTGTTTTTTTTTAGTCTAATGGTAAGTCAAATTAGGGGTGCCCGCGAGTGCCTGCCACTATGAGATAGGTGCCAATTATTTATTTAACTGCCTGAATTAGAACGTTGTCGTCGTCATGACGACTTGACGAGGCCCCGCGTTTCGCCCACTCAAATATCACTTTTTTTAAAAAAAAAAAAAAAATTTCACTCCTGCCGCTGCTGCATAGTCTAACTTCATGCATATTATTATTGAAGCTGCTGGAGTCTTAATCATATATTTTTAATATGCTTAAGATAAGACTTAATTAACTAATTTGAAAAAATTAAGAAAAATAAAAAATAATTTAGTTATGACATATGTTATATAATTTTTTTAAAATATTTGTATGTATTATACTACCTCCGATCCTAATTATAAGAGCCCGTTGATTAACTTGAGGAGATTAAGGAAATAAGTTGAGTTAGTTCTTTATACTAAATAGGTGTTGTCTTTTCTAAAATATTCTTACTAATCAAGTGTATTGGTTAGAACTACAATTATTAGAAGGACTACCTTAGAAAAAATGTATAAATATGAGAGAAAAAGTGAATTGAAGTCTTATATTTAGAACCAAAATAAAAGTTAAACAAGGTCTTATATTAAGGATCGGAGATAGTATTATATTATATATCAATTTATAAGTCTGATAAATTTGTTTGAAGAAAATGATAAATATAATACTTTAAAGTAATTTATTTAAGGGTTAACGTGCATCTAACAACCTGAAATATTTTTTTGAGGTGTATTTAGTACCATAAAATATTTTGTTGTGCATCAAGTATGCCGAAATATTTTTTAACTGCGTCCACCATTCTGAAATATTTTTTTTTGGTGCTGAATGCATCAAAAAATATTTTTAGGTGTTGGACGTATCTAAAAAATACTTTAAGGTACTGATGCCTTAAAAAAAATACTAGTACTTCACAGTATTAGGCACATTCAAAAAAATACTTCAAAATACTGAATACGTCACAAAATATTTTAAGGTGCTCAATGCAACCAAGAAAATATTTCTAGCTGGTTGCACCTTAATCTTTTATTTAATTTTTTTAATATTTTTAAATTAGTCAACTAGATTTTATAATAGGGACTCGAATATTTTTTTTGTTTAAAATTTGATGCATTATTTTTCCTTAAGATGCAATTCATAATTTTAGATAAAATAAATTTTAAAATAAGTTTGATTTGTTCCAATTTTATCGGATGTCCCCAGAACATTTTTAAAAATATATTTAATAACTTAACTGTTTCTTATTAACCCCGGTGAAATAGATTATACGTGGGATATAGTAACAATTAGGCGAGGAAATATTTTTTTTTAAGACGCCAGTGTTCATCTGCATGACATCTATCCTTGAGGAAAAATATTTTTCATGTTAGTTATTAGTTAATAGAAATAAAATTGATACTGATTTGTATTTCACAACATTGAAAATAAAAAAGGATATTAAAATGTATTTTTTTACCAGAAATATATTAAAATGTAATTAAAACAACACAACGTTATAAGTAAAGATCAGCGGTAGATATGCTTTGAAAGCTTCGTGGCTTCACATGTCGTCCACATGAACCTTTGATCACAGTTATTGGTGCTGCCCACATTCTTTTTAATTTTTTTCCTTTAGCACTAATTATTAACTATTTATAAAATATTTCAGAAAATAAAAATATTATATTTGTAGGAAGCACTAGCAATTATTTTCCCTCTCTTAGGGGGATTGGGGAAAAAGAATTTAAATAGTTAATATATGTAACATTGCCAAATAACATACCTAAAATGAATATACTTGTTCCTACAAACAAGTATAATTATTGATTATCGATATAAAAATTGAGGATACCGTAGGAAAAAAAATTGACGATAGTGGTTCAGTTAAGTTTTTCTGAGATGCATTTTACACAAATGATTTCCTTAATAAAACATTACTACCTCTAATGTTAATTATAAGACATCATTTATAATCTATAAATGAAGTCTCATAATTAGGACCAGAGGTAGTATTATGGAGTCCAATTTTAAGTCACAATGACTAAATTAAATACTACCTCTCGTCCTTAACATAAAAGTAATTGACTAATTTGAGTAGATTAAAAAAAAAAGATTAAGTTAGTTATTTGTAATATATACTCCTTCGATCCTTGATATAAGACCCATGTAATTAATTTGATTAAATTAAAGAAGTTAGGTAAGTTAGTTTATTATAAGAAAAGTGACATATTTTTCCTACAACACTATAATCATATTTCTTAATACCCCTTCTCTCTCTTCTACTTGATTATGGTTGAAGGAGTATCCATAGGGGTAATTTAAAGAAAATTAATAAATATGAGAAATGAGTCTTATATTTAGGATCAAAACTAACTTAAGAATTGGGTCCTATATTAAGGACCAGAGGAGTAGATTGTGTATTTTCTAAAATATCCTTGCTAATCAAATGTATTGGCTATAACTACAATTATCATAAGGACTATCTTGAGAAAAAATGGATAAATATGATAGAAAAAGTGGATTGGAGTTTTATATTTAAAATCAAAGTAAAAGTCAAATGAGCTTTTATATTAAGGATCGGAAATAGTACTACCTCCGGTCCTTAATATAAGATCCTATTTGAATTTTATTTTGGTACTAAATATAAGACCCCAATTCACTTGTTTATCATATTTTTTTTTTCCAAAGTAGTCCTTTTAATAATAAGAGTTCTAGTCAATACTTGATTAATAAAGATATTTTAGAAAAGACAACACCTATTTAAGACAAATAACTAACTCAACTTACTTCTTTAATCTCCTCAAATTAATTAACTGACTCTTATAATTAAGACCGGAGGTAGTATAATAAAATGATAATTACATTGATTATATTAACTTTATGTACGCCGGAAAAAATGTTTACTTTTAATTTTTTTTCTCTCTTTAAAGTATTACTTGTCCTCCTCTTCTTTCCTCAAGCATAGTTGCTAAAAGATTAACGTGAACAATCTTTTAATTACAACAATATTTTCATTAGTTTTATCACTAACAATATTAATAATTTCTTGGCAAAAAAATCAATAATTTCGTCTTCGTCACTTTATATTTGAAAAAAAGAACTCGTAAAAAAATATTTTTTAAGTGCTTGAGATTCTCAATCTCATCTATATTAATTTCACAGTCTTATAATTTATCAATCACATTGTCCCATTCAAATCCCTCTATGCTTCAATAAGTTTTATATAATATATATATATGTATAAAATGGGTGACCAACAAAGATTCAAATTATCACTAGAATATATGTCCAGGTTTAGCATTTGACAATATTTTAAACATGATTACATTCTAATATAAACATAACTGTGCCCAGAAAAAAAGATTCTCTTTATAAACAATATCAGTTGTTTATTAGTTATACGCACACAAAGAAATATAATACCTTCGTACATTTATTCATTGAACCTGATGCAATTATTATTTTTTATTTATTGGAGAAACCCTTAATTGTGTAAACTCGGGATCACAGTCTCTTTTACTATCTCTATAAGATCTTATTTGATTTTTATTTTGATCATAAATATAAAACTTCAATCCACTTTGTTTCTCATATTTATCTATTTTTTTAAGATAGTCCTTCTAATAATGATAGTTCTAGTCAATAAATTTGATTGGTAAAGATATTTTAGAAAATACAACATTAATTTATTACAAATAACTAATTTAATTTTTTTTAATCAATTCAATTTAATCAACTAGCTTTTATATTTTGGAGCGGATGTAGTATTTTTTTTAATTTATTTTGCATTGGATTCCTTTTTTTTTCTCAGAGGAGATCATTGCTTGGATCTGTATCTGCGCCAAATTAAATTCTAAGCCAATAGAAAAATTTTTTATTTGAATTCTCTTAGCTTTTTTTGTTCAAAAAAAATTGCTCAGATAAGTGAATGTTACTGCAATTGCATGAAATAGACATTTTTGAATAGTTTTGTAGTCTTAGTGATATAAAAGCTCTCATATGAATAAACAGTTCAGGTTTGATTCATTTATAATCTCAGCATGTTAGTGCCTCCTCTTCTAATTAAAAAATACTACCTCCTGTCCTAAATATAAAAACTAATTGACTATTTGAGTAAATTAAGAAAATAAGTTAAGTTAGTTATTTATAATAAATAAGCGTTATCTTTCTTAAAATATCATTGTTAATTAATTTTATTGACTAGAATTACTATTATTAAAATGATTATATTGAAAAAAATAAATAAATATGAGAGATAAAATAGATTGAGGTTTTATATTTAGGATCAAAATAAAAATCAAATGAGATTTTATATTAAGGATTAGAGATACGAGTTTGATTAAAGAAGTGAGGAGTCATTTACTGGTAAAACTCTCAATTTATTTATTTTTTCACGTTTACTTGGCCACAAATAGTCTTAAAAGAAAAAGCAAACTGTATTTGATGTTGCTATGATATTAGGTTTTTGTTCTTTTTTTTTTTGGGGCAAAGTTTTGCGTAAAAATATGCGAATAATAGTAATAATTAAAAATTACTATGAATTGACCACGGAGAGTAATATGCAAATTTTACATGTTTTGACTTTTGGTTAAAGATTCATATGGTTGATTTTTCTTTTGACAATCAACACCGCCCAAATAATCGTTAAGATAAGAGCACAAAAAATAATTATTTTACAACAATAAATTAAAAAATTGAAAATAATTAAAGAAAGAAAGAAAGAAAGAAGAATTGAATTGGTTAATTAGATGGAGACACTCCATTTCTGATGACTGATGCAAGCCATACGTAGAGGAAGGAAGGAAGGAAACAAATGAACTAGAGCTATGAAACAGAATCGGCAGTTTTTTTTTATAAAAAAAATAAAAAAAGATTCGAGAGGGAGACGGTGAAATGTGAAGGCAGCTGAAACTGAAAGTGGGACACACTCGGAGGTGAGAGGTGGAAAGAGACGCCATCGTAGATTTGTAGTTTCCTTCCATAATCCTTTATAAATGAGGCCACGTAGAGACGCTGATCGACGCAGATTCACCTCTTCGTCGTCGTCGTCGTCGTCCTCCTCCTCCTCCTCGCCGCCGTATCCGCCGCAAGCGGTCCGATTCCGTCGCCTGGTTTTGAAACTCTGTCTGGCCATGGCCGGTCAATCTCGCAAGTGGATGTTGTTAGTGGCCACCATATGGATTCAGGCCTTCACCGGCACCAATTTCAATTTCGCGGCATACTCCTCCTTACTGAAATCCTCCCTCAATATCTCCCAGGTCCAGCTCAACTACCTCGCCACCGCCAGCGACATGGGCAAGGTCTTCGGCTGGTCCTCCGGTCTCGCCCTCTTGCATTTCCCGCTCTCCGTAGTCATGTTCATGGCCGCCTTCATGGGCTTCTTCGGTTATGGCCTCCAATGGCTTCTCCTTCGCAATCTCATTACCCTGCCGTATTCTCTGGTACTTATATCTATCCTCTTAATTAATCTTCTCAACCTTTCTATTTTTGTGCTCTTAAATCTTTCTTCTTCATAACTTTAGCTGCACAAAGAAGTTCTAGGAAACTTGATTCGCAAATCACAATCATGATTATTTATGTTTACAAGAAGGTGCTTTCTGCGTCTCAGTTTCTTACTGATTAATTTCAACTTCATTGGGCAATTTAAAGTACGTGAGTTTTCAAGAAATTTTAAGCCACCCTGGCACCTGCTCGGTTGCTTCTTCCATTTCTGCCTGAACAAAAGCGAAAACTGTTTCAGATTACTTGGTATTGATTCTATATTGCTATCTGGATTGTTGAGAAGAATAATAAATGACGGAGCTATATTGATTATGGTCTTCGATGGTGGCGACCCATAAGCGCAGCGAAAGGTAGACCCCATAAGCTGCGCTTCTACGGTCGACGCCTGATCAGGCGAATGCCCCCGATTTTCCTGCTCTCTTTTTGACCCATAAAAAATAAATACTATTCTTTTAGTAATATATATATATTTTTGGTCACGGTGATAATATCTCCTCTTCTAATTATAATACCTCATTTACATATTATAAATAAGGTCTTATAATTAAGACAGGAGGTAGTATATATGTTCACTTCTTCAAATGGTAAATCAGTAATGGAGAATAGGATCAAACATGGATGATACAGTTTTCCAGGTACACCATTCATTTTCAAACTGTATTTAGTGGTGTTCTTGAAAAAAATTAATATTTTTCTAAACAGATAAATCTTGAGTGGTGGCCCCAGCTCCCCGGGAATTTAGCCCCAGTTTTAGGATATTTCTTACGTATAATTTTGGACTCAATTGTAGCACACTACGTCTTTGTTTTACGGCCCTCGATCATTTCTTGACTTTTTCTGTTTAAAAATCCACGGTCCTCACTGTTTTAGCGGTCCGACGTAAGGGGAAAAAAGGGTTGAAATGAATAAAACTAGGCAGTGAGTTAATTAATTTGTTTTATAAGCGAGTTAATCAATTAAACGTACAGGAGATTTTTTTTTTTAATTAAAGGGGCAGTAATAACGGCACGAGATTATAAGTGAGATTTGCCACCAAGCTACAAAGCTAAAGCAAGACTTTAAACTCACTTCCAGCTTATTAACTTGTAAAGTTTAAAATACTTGACTCGATGGCAAAAACAAAACTTGATTCAATTTGATGATATAATATATTTTTTTGCCAACTACATAATATATAATATATATTTATATATATAAAGTATCCCCTTTTATATTATGCAGCAGAATTTCATATAGATGCCTCACGGACACATGAGATTTTGTTTGTAAGGTGATAATTATCTCGATTTCGTCCTTTATTATCTGTGTTCTGTGGTATTGTTTTAACAGGAAATGCTTTCGTATTCTAATTTTGGGGTCCCAGTAAAAATAGATTCGCCGCGAGTCTTCTTTCAAACTATGTTCGCTACAACGCACAATATCTGTCACTTTCTCTGTTTGTCACAAACTCACAATTGAAATGATATTTCTGTTTTAAACTGATACTTTTTATTTTTATTTTTTGGTGGGTGATACTTTTTAAATTTACGAGTGAAAATACGATTGCAACCCCGCCGTTAGAGCCATTGATGGATGATACCAAGTATGGGGGTCTTAATAGACTCGGATCCCTATATTTTTTACATTATTAAGCTGAAAGATACATTTTCAGAAATATATCAATAAATTTCTCCAAAGGGCATGTTCTGCTGCTTTGGGAGATCCGGTTGAAAACACCGAAGAAAATTAATCTGGTGCATTTGGAATCTGTCTCCTATATGAGAGCTTCAATTGCATGTGATGGTTGATTATGCTCTGTACACCATACTATGATCTGTGTTTTGGTGCCTAGCATGTGATCAGCTGATGTATTGTACTTTGCATCTTTCAGTTTGCTGTCAATACCCTTCTACCTATACTGAAAAGCTCTTCCGTTTGATGATTAATTAGCTACATTTCTTTTAAGTGGTTGCGATAAAATAATTCTCAAATTGGATTCACAGGAAAGAACCCATAATTGAAGGAATTTGTCCTTATCCCTCTGTGGTTTAAAAGTGTTTTCTATTAGATGGTGATTAGATCTGTAACTAGCGGCTAATTATCTCTTCAATAATTAACTCCCATTGAATTGTAATATGTACAAGAAAACTTTATCATAGCCGTTCATCAGATTAACAAACTTTCAATTTGCATATGGCAGGTGTTTCTTCTGTGTTTGTTATCCGGCTGTAGCATCTGCTGGTTCAACACAGTATGCTTTGTTCTCTGCATTAGGAATTTCCCAGCGAATCGATCACTTGCATTATCGCTCACTGTGAGTTTCAATGGAGTTAGTGCAGCACTCTACACGCTTGCTGCAAATTCCATAAATCCCTCGTCCAGTGAACTGTATCTGCTCTTGAATGCCCTTGTTCCTCTTATCACATCCTTTGTAGCATTAATCCCAATTCTTCGCCAGCCAGCTTTAGACCATCTTCCTCCGGATGCAGTTCACCGGGACTCATTGATCTTTCTGATATTGAACTTCTTAGCAATTTTCACTGGCCTCTATCTTCTTCTCTTTGGCTCATCTGTCTCTGATGCAACTATCGCACGTCGCTACTTCGCAGGAGCTATATTTCTCCTCGTCTTCCCATTATGTATTCCCGGTACTGTCTATGCTCGAGACTGGTTCCGCCATGCCATCCATTCTAGGTTTCGGATGGAACGCTCAGGCTTCATACTTGTTCATGTTGATGATCTTGAGCTTCACAAAGAACTCCTAACCCAGTCCAATAGCATTCATAGTCTCAACAATGATGACTCTGAAAGTCTGTTGTGCGATAATGGATCCATGCATGGAAGTCTTACTGCAAAAGATAGTGATGGGTGTTGTGAGAGGATGATTGACAGGGATCAGTTGACAGTGCTAGGTGAAGAGCACCCAGCTTCAGTGGTTGTACGTAGGTTGGACTTTTGGCTTTATTATATTGCATACTTCTGTGGAGGAACCATTGGTCTTGTCTACAGCAATAATATGGGACAGATTGCCCAATCTTTGGGCCTGACTTCAGATATATCTACCCTTGTCACTCTTTATTCATCATTCTCCTTCTTTGGCCGCTTGCTTTCAGCTGGACCAGACTATAGTCGTAGGTAAGGATTCTTATCAATCTATGATAATTTCTTTTTTAATTGTCTTGACTTCAAGCAAGTCTTTAGCAATTCTAACTACTGGTATTTTCTTTGCATTGCAGTAAATTTTACTTTGCAAGGACAGGGTGGCTAACTATTGGGCTTATACCAACCCCGGTTGCGTTTTTCTTGCTTGCCGCATCAGACAGTGCTGTAGCACTTAAAACAGGAACAGCACTGATTGGGTTGAGTTCTGGGTTCATTTTTGCAGCAGCCGTGTCAGTTACTTCTGAGCTATTTGGGCCGAATAGTGTGAGCGTCAACCACAATATCCTCATAACAAATATCCCAATTGGATCTCTTCTCTATGGTTTCCTTGCCGCAGTTGTTTATGATGCCAATGCACATCATCCAACAAACTCAACAGTATCTGACATAGCAGTGTGCATGGGAAGGCAGTGTTATTTCTGGACATTTGTGTGGTGGGCATGTATATCTATCATCGGACTAGCTTCTAGTGTGTTACTATTCATGAGAACCAAGCATGCATATGATACTTTTGAAAACAAACGCATCTCAACACAACCAATTGTGTTTTAAGTTTGTGGTTCTGAATTAAGATACATAAAGATCATGAGGTGATTTACTTTGGCTTCATTTGGACATATGCAGAAGCTAGGAGTTGTACAGGGTTTTCTTGATTTTAGATATGTATACAAAGCCAAAGAGGCAGAGATAAATCAGGGTTGAGTGTAGAGGAGATTTAGATTCAGTAGCAAAAAAGAGCAGGATTACAGATTAGATGCATGAGGATTGAGGAAATATTCATTAATTTCTAGTGACATCTGGAGCTTCACGAAGGTTAATCATTTTTGTAGGCGTGATTTGGACTTTCCGACTGAGTTTTGTAGATTATTTCTCTTTGGACATGGTTTTATCTGTGCTCTTATAATTCAGCTGGGGAAGGCAAAAGCAAGGGCTCCGAGTGCTCAACAGCTCAAGGCTCTTGGGCAGGGCTGCTCTGCCCGGGTGACTTCTGATCAGTTCTGTACTTTACGATGCCTGTCATTTGAAATGTAGCGGTAGTTGCCAAACCTTTCCCTTTGTTTCTTTTCCTCTCAGGAAAGAAAATTTATCATTGATAATTTATTTTATTTTATTTTTAATATGATAACCCTTAGCATTTTTTGGGAGATACAATAGACAAATTCCGTATGACTAGTAATATTAAATGACAGTCCAACACTTCTTTTGTTGTCATTTCTCAATTCTGTTAGTAACAATTCATCGGTCATCATTGCTCTGCTAGTCTGGACACAGACTCACCGATGAACCATTAGCAGAATGTGAATGATTTGTGAGCTCTGAATTTGATCACATTCGTTGGGTCCATGTCCTGTGGCGTGGTTTTTATTTAGTCATCATCAATTGGTACGGTTTAAGCAAGAAATACGCTCACAGCAGCATGCTCTCCATGTAATATAGATGTACGCACAAATCTGCCCTCTCCTATGATCACGCTTACAATCTTCTGGATGTGATATAAAATTTTATTGATTGGATTAACATATGGAATCGATATAACAATTGTGGTATTCAATCATGAAGAAAAATCGAAAAAAAGAAGAAAGAATGGAGTATCTATAACCTAAGCCTTCTTCACGGATAGGCGCAAAATGCATCATCTTTTATACATAGGAACAGCCTCTCGTATGCCAATGCCATCTTTGTCGCCGTGAACATGGAAGTTGCATATTCACGACATGCCTTTCCCCTTCTTGCTAGCCTCTCTGGACCTTCCTTCACCACAGCTTCAAGTGACTCCAACAATGAGTCCACATTTGGAGAGAACATAAAGCCAAACTCATCATTAACAACCACACTACCTTTGATGCTCGGAAATCTTGATGCCAAAAGGGGCTTCCCACTCATCATTGCCTCCATTAGAGTAAGATCAAGTCCTTGTGGCCTAAGCGTGGGATTCACAAAAATGTCTACAGCATTATAGAACGCCCTTAACATGGACGGGCTCATAGATCCTAGAACAAGAACTTGGCCTCCTAAATCCTTGTACCGATTCTCCCATGGTCCTGAACCAGCAACAATCAAGTACACATTGGGGTGCTTGGTTATTAGCTTGGAGTATGCTTCGTGAAGCAGAGGATGTCCTTTGTCCTTCACCAATCTTCCAGCCACACCAAGTACTAAACCTGCATTACTAGGAATGCCAATTTTGGCTCTGAATTCCTTCCCCAATTCTGCATCTTCCCTGAAGTCACCATCATCAACTCCATTTAGTATCACATGGACTCTTCTGCTGGGAATCTGATAAACATCCCTTAACATCTCACCACAGCTATCACTAATGGCTACATGATGTGCATAATTGTGGAAGAATCTTATCTCGTTCAGAACTTTAGGGACAACCCCCTGTAAGGTTTCCGTGAAAGCAGGGATGTTGGCTCACCAGGCCTCCTAGCCAAGTCCTGAAATATATTAGATTGCAGGCTCTCCAAGGCTATGCCATGCCATGAAACGGCAAGATTTGAAACGTTGCGAGCAAGCCAGTGAGGAAGTGCTACACTTTCTGAGTGAACAACATCAAATGGTTCTTTTTCGTTTTCTTCCTGAAATTGTTCCCAAGTTCCCAAGCTTTATTGTATCTCCACCTTCCTGGTTCACCCTCATGGCAATGAATCTGAGGTGAAGAAGGTGCGCCTGCTTGGTGATTTTCCGATGAGATTGAAGTGCCTTCATCTTGGGGAGAGGTAAAAACATGAACTTGATGGCCTCGACTAGCTAAGGCTGTATGAAGAGTGTAAGCGTGGCGCTCCATGCCACCTGGGGTGGTGCCAATAGGCCATTTCCGAGAGAACACAGCGATTTTCAGAGTCCTTTGTGGGGCTGGTCTTGGAAGAATTGCAGGCGGTTCCATGAGAACTCAGCTAAGCGAAGATCACCAGACCAGGCTTGGCATGCTTGGCGAAGACCAGGGCTTGGCATGCTTGGCGAAGGTGGTGCATATGGAGGTGGTGGTGGGGGTATGGAGGAGGAACAAAACAGGTATGGTGAAGAGACAATGAAAAACAGAGTAGTGCAGAGGCTGTATTGAAAGGAAGATGAGGGTTTTCTGAATTTGTTGTTTAATGCCATTTCTTCTTCTTCAGGGGATTCGGAAATTATTGGCATGAGTGGTGTTTAATTGACGTTGGATTTTGCATTCTGATGGTATCTACACTGAAAATGATGAGAAAATGGGGGAAGACCAAAAGAAGAAAAATGTGAAGAAATTGGGGGAGGAGGTATGCACGCACTAAAGCAAGTGGGTTGGGTTTGAGTTTTTTGAAAGTGCGTTTCTCACGCCTGCTTTGAGGGGAGAAAAGGTGGGTATCATTTATTATTTTTAAGTTAAATGATATGTAAATAGTTAAAGTCAGTCAGCATTGTCACTCAACAAACTCCTTTAAGAAACCATGCGAAAACTAGAATCATAGAAGTCAACTAAAGTGGTTCGTGCATGAACACAAACATTGACCTGGAGAACCAATAGGATTATTGTCAAGCGAAGTTAGGTTTTATTGGGTGGCTTTGCAATACCTCTAAGAAAGTTTAAAAATTGATCAGTTTTGGTTTGATTACTTTTGGAATATGGAAATGGATAATTTAACCATGACTATATGACTACTACGAAGTGAGCTTCCTTTTCTTTTTTTTTTTCCCGTTTTCTGTGGAAAGATTTTAATTGTCACAGGTCTAAAAAATGCAACCGAACTTATTAAAAAAGAAAGAGTCATCGTAGGATACCATTGTTTCCTCATCATGAAGAGGTAGATTCAAATATTTTCATAGAACAATAGCAGCCCGACAATTCAAGAGCTTGCCCTGATATAAGGCTTAATGGAAGGCTTTGAAATTCAAAGTTAGCTTATTCTTGAGCTTGAGCTGAGATAAGAAGTTCTACTTAAACGTTGAGTAGAATACTTTCATTTGATCATGATTTAACAGAGCTCTCAGCTCTGAAGCAAGATTTTATAGTACACTCTATAGCATATAGATAGATATATACACACACTGCATATACTGTTTTATACATGTATAGCTGACCATACCACAAGTTGTACTCACACTTCAACTAGATCTCTCTCCTTTTTTTAATGAATTGGCAGATTCAAGTTTTTTTGCTTGCAACTACAGGAGAGGGCTTCCTGTGGTTTGCACCAACTCTGATATCAATTTTGATCTTATCAGAAGCTCCATTTCTAGATTTTGCTGAAGCAGGCCAGTGTCCACACGTAATAGCCATGTCCTTGAACTGCTGCAAGTTTTCAAGAATTTCAACTATGGTTGGCATCCTTGGCCTGTCTTGGATTCAGACTTATGGATTGAAGTGCCAAACGAGCCATCTCCTTTGCGCCCTTCACAGAGTACTGCCCTGCAAGCCTTGGATCCATAATATACCTCAACTTCCTAGAACTATACTCAGATAGGGTCTTGACCAATCCACAAGGCTCTGCTCAGTCTTTGGTCTTGTCTTCTCCATTGCTCTCCTTCCTGTGAGTAGTTCTAGCAGCACCACCCCAAAGCTATAGACATCGCTTTTTGTGGTTAAGTGACCTGAAAACCATTCATAACTTGCTTTAGAAATTGGATAAACTATGCCCATTTGATAGTAATGATTGTTAATTGCTGGCCTGTAGGAAGCAATTGAAAACTTTGATCTTTTAACTTTGTTTTAATATGAAAAAATGGCATTTGATCTTTTAACTTGTTTTAATATGAAAAAAGGGCATTTGATCTTTTATAATATGAAAAAATGGCATTTGATGGATATAATGAAAAAGTAAAATATGATACAAATTAAAAATTGATAACTAAATTGAAATAAGGGGGAAAAAAAAACGGTTTGAAACCTGTTTGATTAATTACCGGTAGAGATGTATTCAGGGGCTGCATATCCATAAGTACCCATGACTCTGGTTGTGACGTGAGATTTAGATCCCTCTGGCCCCATTTTTGCTAATCCAAAATCTGACAACTTTGCTGTGAAGTCCTGGATAAAACAATATCCAGATGAAGATCTTGAGGGATTTGAGATTGGCATGTGAGAAAGCTTTTGCTACCATGTTAAATAATCTAAACGGAATAACAAGAGGAAAAGAACGTCATGATGTATAATTACGCACAGAATCAAGCAAGACATTGGAAGTTTTGAAGTCCCTGTAAATAACTGGATTCTCTGCCCCATGCAAGAAGGAAAGGCCTTTAGCGGCACCGATTGCAATTTTCAATCTAGTTGCCCAAGGCAGTGATGATATCCCTGAAACCACAAAAAGGTGGCTTAGCTAGGCAACTGAAAGAGAAGAGGCTCTGTGAAGAGTGTCCGTCTGTCTGTATCAGATGAAAATGAAGAAGGTGAAAAAGAGGCATACTTCTGAACAAGTGATTCTCTAAGCTTCCTCTTGGCATGAACTCGTAGACAAGGAGCCGTTCTTCTTCCTCACAACAATATCCTATCAACTTCACTAAGTTTGGGTGCCTTAGCTGACCAAGAAATACTACTTCTGCCTGCGTCCCAAATTATTCATTAGTTGACCAATATATGCTCTTGCGGTAACAACTAATAAATAACAACACTACATTAACCAAAGGGGAAAAACCTCACGACCAAAAAATCTACAAGCCACAATACTTTATTTGTATGGATTAAAATCGAAGTAAATGACGTTTTTTTTTTTTTTGAAAAAATGGAGCCCACTTGTATTGGACCAAAAGAAAATTTTCCCTCTCTTATTTTATCATGATTCGATGCTTATTGTAATAGGTTTATGACTAGCACCAGTTCAGTGAAACAATGAAAGGAAATGTGAAGAGCAAGACTGACCGCTAAATAGTTTCCCTTTTTGTTATTTATAATCTTTTTTTTTTACCAAGATTTTTGAATCAACATTATAAAAAAAAAAAAAAAGAAGAAGACTTACTGACTGAATCTAAAATTTAAAAAATGTGACCACTAAATACACTTAAGCATTCCGTTGAACCGAAAAAAAAAAGAAAAGAATAACTTTTATATCCTTTTCGTAAAAGTTTGACTTAGTCGGAAAAGGACACACAACCACGTAATGAATTAATTAATTAATTAATATCAGAAAACTTTAAATGTAAAGTACAACCAAAAAGTTTATGAATATAATTTCCATCCAGGTCCCAAAAAAAAAAAGATTATACTTTCCACCCACCCGACTTAGTATGCTTTCCCATCTTGAAAATTTTCAACTTATTAATGTAAGAAATTCAGAAAATTTAACGCAAATAAAACCATCCCATCTGTTGACTTTTATATTCAAAGCGCAACCGAAAGAGGAGTCTCAAATAAAACTCCAGATTTTTTTTAAAGAAAAATGCTACTCCTCGAATTCTAAATATAAGACTCTTTTTATAATATAATTTATATTAAAAAAAGAGTTTTATATTTAGAATCGGAAAGTATTTGACTATACTAAAAACCCATAATCATATTCTTTGAGCTCAAAAAAAAACCCATAATCATTTTTAAAAAAAGGTGGAAGAAAGCAGGCGATGATCCAGTAATGAGCATCGAATTTTGTGTCATCGAAACGCATGCATACTCACAAGCCATTCACGATGTCCTTGCAAGCCTTCGATGTCGAGAAGTTTGACGGCGACGGGCTGAGCCTTCAAGCCCTGCCGGAAATGATCATCGATGTAGCCCTTGTGCACAGTCCCGAACCCTCCTTCTCCCAACAAGAAATTGCTCGAGAAATTCTGCGTTATGGCTCGCAGCTCGCTCAGCTGAAAATCGAGCAGATCCGACCCGAACGACAGCGCCAGATCCTCGTTGATTCTCATCGACGACGACTGGCTCAGATCAGAGAACGACAGCCTCCGGAACGACGGCATCGAAGCGACATCCTTGGACAAATCCGACCGTGAAGTCGGCTTGCATCGACTGAAGTTGCCGAGCTTGGTTTGTTTCTCAGTGGAGCAGCAGTTTGCAGTGAGTGGCCTCCATGGCTTCGACTTGGATGGCTGCTTCATTGTAGAAGAAGAAGGTCTGGTGAACAAGTGAAGTTGCTGATGATTGGATATATAGTAAATAAGAAAGAAGCCTGGAAGACCAGAAACCTTAATTTATTTGCAAGAGGGAAGACATTCTTTCTTCAACTGCTCTAACCACTCTGTATAATTAATACAATTTAGGGTTTCTGGTGTGATCATCATCTTCATCATAATCACCAACAGATTTAGGTTATTTAATTTGGAGTCTGGATTGTGTCTTCATGCGGAATGCATTCCACATCTTCGATTCGTTACCATTTTTTTTTTTTTGGGGTTGTAGCAAACGCTTGATTCGTGTCAGCATTTGATTTGCTGGTGTTTTTCTTGCGTTGGACTTTGAAGGATTAATTAATGCAGAAAACATACGTACTAATGATACTTTGGAGTAAATTTAATGATTAATATTAGTTCGCACATGTAAGAGTTTATCCCTAAAGCTATCTTGCAATAATCAAACTTAAAAAAACAACGATTTCATAGAGTAAATTGAGAATTTGTTTTTTGTTTTTTACTACTGTCACGGTTATTTACCATATTAAATTTCCTTTTAAAATAGTCCTGTTAGTACTATGGTTTTTCCTGTCTAGTAGAAAATCATAAAATCAATTAAATATTAAGATTAAGGTATTGAATATATCAAGAAAATAAGATTAAAATATTAAATATACTAAAAATAAGATAAAAACACTGGATTCATTCAAAAAAGACAAGATCAGGATGCTGATATGCTTTTACCCAAATATAAATGCGCTAAGTCACAGTGTCCAATTATCTTAATATCTCCCGACTGTTCTTAGAAATAACCTTTTGATCCCAATATAAAGAATTGTCCTATATATATATACTACGTCCGTCCTAATTATAAAAGCTAGTCGGCTAATTTGATAAGATTAAAAAAAAGTAAGTTAGTTATTTGCAATAAATAGGTGGTATCTTTTCTAAAATATCCTTACTAATCAAGTGTATTGGCTAAAACTACTATTGTTAGAAGGACCACCTTGAGAAAAAATATATAAATATGAAAGACAAAGTGGATTTGAGGTGTTATATTTAGAATCAAAATAAAAATTAAATAAGATCTTATATTAAGGACCAGAGGTAATATATTTATTTTAAAGAATATAGACATAAGATGTTATGCTTAATGGAAAGGTAAACACATAATGAATTAATATTACATTTTATTCTAGTGTAATAAATCTACCATAGAGCAAAAGTAGTGATTAGCTAACATGAGCATATTGGATATTACTGGTTTACAAAATGACTTACGCTTAATCTTACGCAGTCATTATGCTTTATATATATATATATATATATATATATAAAATACTCCTCCGGTCCTTAATATAGGACCCAATTCTTGAGTTGGTTTTGGTTCTAAATATAAGATCCATTTCTCATGTTTATCAATTTTCTCTAAATTACCCCTATGGATACTCTATCAACCATAATCAAGTAGAAGAGGGAGAGGGGTATTAAGAAAGATGATTATGGTGTTTTAGGAAAAATGTGTCACTTTTCTTATAATTAACTAACTTACCTAACTTCTTTAATCTAATCAATTAGTTAAATGGGTCTTATATTAAGGATCGGAGGAGTACACTTGAATTGAACGCTGAGAATTGTATCCAATCCATAAGACATTTTGGTCATAATTAACAGTACTCATTAATGACAAAATATGAGTTTATTAGTGACAAATAATGAAGAAGAAAGTGTAATATCTATGGCTGTTGATTTGGTAACCTAAGAAACGTAGAACATAAACATTAGAGTGAGTGACGAAGGAGATGATAGCATCAACTTCTGTCTTTATATGCTGATAATATAATATAACAAATTAAATTACATTAATAATAATAAACATGATCAAGAGGGAGTTGTTACTAGTTTAAGTGCTGGACGGTTTTCATATTAAATCAATATTTTTTTTTTAAAAAAAAACCTTTATGGATGAAGTAAATAAATGACAGTGCTCCCTTTTCCTGCTCCATCACTGCTAATCTTTTTTTTTTTTGGCCAAAATCACTACTAATCATAATGGGGAAAAGATGATTGCGTATCCCTTTACTCTAATTACTATTTTTTTCACAAAATTAAAGTAATTTTTTTAGTGACGCGCACGCACACATAAGTGTTAGTGGAGAAGTGGGTTTGTTAGTTTTATTAATGTAAAATTATATATCCAGTTACAGGAAAATCCAAGGAGCTAAGTTAGTGGTTGTTTGACTGATATATATGGCAAATGATTTAGTTTAGAGAAAATAATGATTTAATATCATATTAATGAAAATTATCATGGGTCGAAAATGTTGGAAGATGATTAAACAGTGATTGAATCCCACCCCGACAAGGCTGAAGATCAAACTAAGCGTTTCCTTTGATCTTAATTACTGTTTATTTTGGTGGAGTGAGTGACGAAATGTTGGTTAATTTGTGCAGTTAGTAAAAAACGTGGAGTGATTTAAAAGTCAGTTCATATTTATTTTACCTTTATCCATTTTGCAATATTCATATAATCACGTAGCAATAATACACTCTTTTTTTCCATACTTCAGAAATTCGGATGTGTTAGGTCATGAGAGCTCACATTGATAGTAGGATTTAAATTCTAGACTTTGTTTGGATGATCAAAACCATGGTTTTAGAAGTGCTTTTACAGTATCCGAAGCATATTGGAAGAGATTGTCTCGATTTATGGAAAGTGCTTCTGAAAAGTGATTTTAAAGGTATCCAACACTTTTGTAGTTATGAGCAGGCTTTTTACCAGCAGGCTTCTTACCGACTGGACCGACAACACTCTTAACAATTAATAAATATTATTCTAATGGAAAGGATTATTGGTTTAAATCAAGATATGGGGTTCAAGTTCTAGTGCAGGTAGAAATGGCTTTGATGGAACTATCCTTAATAATACATAAATCTAACCTAACGGTAGACTAGTGCTGAACATAAATAAATAAATGCGCTTCCAGATATTTTTAATTCAACCATTTAAATAACGGTCAAATCTCTTTCTTCTTGAGTATTCGTGAAAAAAATGGTAACTACTAATTATTCAGAAATTTTTTCCTCGCAAAAGTATCTCGCATTAAAGACCCAATATTAATCCTATAAGACCCAATATTTTGTCTCTAATTATGCATTCCAAGATAATCCTTCTAATAATGATAGTAACAAACTTAATTAGCAATATTAGAATGACAACATTATTTAAAATAACCACTTAACTTACTTCCTTAATCTCCTCAATAAGTCAATTGGCTTATTTAGGACCGGAGAGTAACATATACAATATACCCTAATTGTTAAAAAACAAATTAGTCATTAAAAAAAAAATTAACATTTTCAATGACCCAAAAACATTACTTATTACTTAGTAATAAAACTAGTTGACTCATTTAAGTAAATTAAAAAAATTAGTGAAGTTAATTATTTATAATAAATAAATATTATCTTTTCTAAAATATTCTTGTTAATTATATACTTCTCCGATCCTAAATATAAAACCCTTATACTAGTATATATAAGGGTCCTAAACGTGTATAAGAGTCTTACATTTAAAACCAGAGGCGTATATTAGCTAGAACTATTATTTCATAAATCTTTTAACATGTACAATCACGACAAAGAATATCTTGAGAACAATGTATAAATATGAGAGAAAAAAAATTAGAATATTATATTTAAAATCAAATTGAATATCAAACTAGTTCTTATATTAAAAACAAAAAATAATATTTTTTAATACTTTCAGGATAATATTAAACTATAAAAGAAAACTGCAACTCCCTGTTGATCCAGATCTTAGTTTGTCCTAGAAAGACTTGAGCAATCATCTAGCTAATGTCATAGAAAGTCTCATACTTCCTTTGATAAAATAATGTAATTCCACACAACTTCATAAATTCGGAAAAACGAAACTACGTACAATCGTATGGGAAAAAAGCGAAATTACAAATTTATCCACCTTGTTAAGATTCTGCTAACGTGGAAAATTAAAACTCTTTACAAGGATGCCGTAGGATCTAAGCACACTCATCAATTACAGGTTGATCTACCGCTATAAACTGCTATGTATATAATCATATAATAAAAAACAATTCATGCTTGCTTACACAACATACTGCAGAGAACCAACTCATTCGCAGGAAGAGACCTATTTGATAAGAGTTAGAATATACAGCTTTTTGCTTTTGCAGAGACTAAACAAAGATGATGAAGGGATCACGACGTTGATGTTATTTCCATTGCCATGCTCGCTGGAATTTTGTCCTCTCTCTCCACATATGCAGAGGGAAACCATCCAGCATTGCCTTTGCATATTCCTTCAGACCATCCATGGGGAGATACCTAAAAACGTAAAAATAGATGTGAGAGAGAGAGAGAGAGAGAGAGATTAAATGAACGATACAGCTATTAGCAGGTTGCACAATACCCACAGTGTAAGAATATTGGAAGCGTTTCAATGAAGCGTTTCAATGAAAGATAAAAGCATGGCTAGCAATTTCATGGTACCAACGAAACGATATTAATGAAGTGGGGAACTTCATCCTATCTAGATGACACAAGTGGCATCCAATTTACAATTTATTTACTGTAATTCCCAGACAGAAAGTTCGAGCTAACGATTATCTAGGCATATAAAAGTTGGCATGTTCTTCAGAAAATACCTGCCGGACTACGACATAATCATCAACTGATAAACTTAGCTCCCCCTCAGCTTGAGCATCAAATGGGTGTACCACCTGTAAGACAAATGATAAGAAAGAATAATCAGTTAGTAATATAATGGATTTACAGCTTAAGTGAAACGAATGATTGCGCTGCATTGCGTTCTAACAGATTTTAGACTAAATTAATGGAACGTCCAGAACCAAATCATTACAAAAATCTTGAGCTGTTAGGAGAGAACATGAGAATAGATTTATCTCTAATACACACAGGAAACAAGCCTACGAAGCTTTATGCTATGGTAACTTCAATTAGGAATGAAATTGTCAATGATCAAACTCTTGACTCCTTGCTTCTTAACTTTTGAAATCATGTCAATTGTCAATAAACATCAAGCACAAAACTTTTGACCCTTTAAAAAGGCCCAAATTTTGATTTTCTTAATATCAAGAACACTGTAATATGCCGTCGTGCAGAATCCCTTTGGAAATAAAATTTGGACAAAACACAGCTCTATCAACTAGAATTGAATTTAGTTAGGAATGAAGGTGACAAGCACTAAACTCTATACTGCCTGATCATGAAGGATTTTTACCATCAAAACAACTAAATCATCCTGAAAGCTATAGTTAGGAATTAGGAGAAAACCAAGGATTTGATACCATGTCGATGCGATAAATTTCTTATTGAATTCACCATTCAACCTTATGCGCTGTAGCCTTTTTATCCTTAAGTATACTAAAATTTGATGAATATAAGAGGAATTGGAGGGAGAAAGCAGGAATTTCTAGATTTAATATAACAGAACATCAATGATCATGTTTCAAAAAAGTAAATAAATACACAAATAGATAATAATAGTCAACACGGGAAGAAAGATAGAAGATCCAGATGTAATGTCTTTCGTGACAGGTCCAATTCCAATAATTAGTGTATGCTTCTTCTAGAGCAATACTCAACTGCATCAACGTGCTATTATATCAGATGTAATGAAGTAGCTCTTAGGACAAAATTAGTCATCACAGGAATCCACAGCAAATTTACATGACTTGCCTTAGCAAAGTAATAGATTCCCCTTGGATCATTGCTTCGATGATCAAAACCATTTACGTTAGCATTCTCAGATACAGGTTGATTATATCCATCTCTTGGCACTGTACTGGCAGGAGACTCTTTTGATTGCTTCTCCAGAATCATCTAATTCCAATAACATGCAATAGAAGCATTACATGCCATGAGATTTACCAAAACAGGGGAAAATGTCTAGAATAATAGCAATGCCATTCTTTTGGGAGCCTATATTTAGAATACGCATGAGAAGGAAATACTTATAAATCAACAAAGGTAAATAGCAAAGGTGAATGGTAGCAAACCTCAGAATATAGTTTCTCTAAAATAACAAGGGCATGCTCATGATAAGCTCTCTCAGCATCCACCTGTCATAAAGAGGAATAAAAGGATAAGGGAAACACTTCAAGGGGATGGAGAAGAGGCAACAACATTTAGTTTGAGGCTCAAAAACCACACACCACATTGCTAGAAAAATCAAGCAACAAAGAAGCAAGTACCCAATCAAGCAAACTTCAGATGAGATGTACCTAATGTCACAGAAAAATAATCAGAACCATAGTTCACGTGGATTTAATCAAAGTCTTTCACCCATAGTGCTAGAATTCAAGCACTATCATGTCAAAGAATCTAATTTTCACCCATCAATCAAGCAACCAAATCTTTGGATGGAAGAATCTGAACGGATCATGATTTATATTGTATCCTCTAAACCCTCACTGCTACATGGAACAAGTGACAATGAATCCATCACATTTTATTGGTTGCGTAAAGCATCTGGACCCCAAAAACAGGTTGGACAAAGCAGATAGCAGCATAATGGGGAAATTACATGTATTGGACAAAACAAGTCAACCCACAATTTACAGTAAATTTTCTTTCATGATCAGAAAAAGTTCATATCTTCCAGATTTCTAAAGCTAGAATCCATGCATTTATCTATTCAAAATGAGATTAAAAAGAAAAAGAAAAGAGCTATGAGGTTCCGTAATTAGCACCAGTCAGGCACGTAAGGTGAAACCTGCAGCACGATAAGAAGGCGCATTATATCATGTTCACCAGAATCAGTAACGCAATACCATTGTATGAAGGCTCTTGAGAGTTATCTGTTGTTGTTCATCTTCAACTGACACCATGGCAGCAGTTGCTTCTCTACCAAGCGCCACCAAGGCTGATTTAAGTTCTTTCAACCTTGCCTCTGCATTTTGAAGCTTCATGGAGTTCTCTGCAGAAACAGAAGAATCCCTCAACTTTGATCGACGCCTCAAAACTTCAGCAGCCTGACGAGAAGATATCTAACATAAATACTATGCATTTCACACCACCTTATGCATGAAGACACACCAGTAAGTTTTTACCTGAGCTTCCACCTCCTGAAAAAGTTTGTCGTAGCGATAAGTGAGGTGGCGTGCATCATCTAAAGGAGCTCCTGTGATTTGTGCCCGTAATGGCTCAGAGACCTAGACAAAAAATCTGAATAAGAATTAGGAGAGCAATGAAAACTTCACTAAGGAGAGGATGAGGGTAGTAAAAAACATATCTGCAAGAGACTTGAAATATGACAATTCCATCCAAGTAGACTAAACTGTTTTGATAATATAGGTTATAGACATGCCCAAGTACAAACCTATACAAATGTCAACAATGGTGACCAAGCAACGTCTAGTTCATTGGAAAGAGCAAGAACATTAACCCACATATCTGACCATGAACTTATAAAATTTGCGTTCAGTTGTCCAAGCCTCCTTTCTCCCAAAAAAAAAAAAAAAAGAAGACTTGAAATTCTTTTCCGAGAAGAATTTTCAGTTTCCCTTCAAGTAAGGAGCACTAGAAGGCTGACATAAATAACATGTGAAACCTTTCTCTTAGATTGCCCTTACAGAAAGTAAACTTTTAAGGCTCCCTGTGCTTATCATAGTAACAAATAATTCTAGTTGAGCAATAAGCAAATCAGATAGCCTATTTTTCTACCAGAGGACATCAAATATGTCTGTATCATATAGAAAAGTACCAAAGAAATTTTCACTGAGGAATACCTGATGACTGTAGATTCCAAGCAAAGTCTCCCTTTCATTTTCCATTAAATCGTATGAGTTACCCATGTGAAAGGAAGCCCTTGCAAGAGGATATTTACTGCTTTCATGCTCTGTCCCATACTTACAACAGTCTTTAGCCAACTTCCTTACTGATGTATACAAGGCAATATATCAATTATCATCTTTTACAAGGAAATCAACTTAACAGAGGAAAAAAACTCAAGTCACCTATCTCCATCTGCTTTAAACTAACAGAGTTTAAACCCTCAATACCACGAACAATATGCCGCTGAAAATTCTGTGAACAAGACACTAATTAAACACTCGGCCAGGTAGAGTATTAAAATTGGTCACCGAATTAAGACCACAAATGAAAGGAGATGAAAAACGAGATTAATGTAAAATACCATCATACCTTGGCTGCTTTTGTAGAATTGTATAATTTTCGCAGTTGTTGGTGACATTGAACTTCTGATTCATCCGTTATTAGGGGTTCATTGCTAATTTGGCCTAATTGTCTAAGTATAGCCTGCAAAACAGTAACATTATGATCTCCCAGAATCATAGAAGACAAAAGTCAAACAAGTGAAATCAATCTTTATTTAAAAAAAAAAAAACCAGTAAAGTAAAATATGATGAACTAATTTTGCACCAATTTTTCCTAAAGAAACCTACTTCATCAGTTCAAGCCGAAGTGAATATAAGCCTTATACAAACTCCCCATATAATTTTAAAAAAAAAAACGAATTGTCCCGTTTTACAAAAGAAAATTAAACAGAATACTTCACAGTACCACCACAAAAAAAGCATAATATCAACAAGAAGGTGGACCATAGGCGTCTCCACTTAATCTGGAATCATCCTACAACAAATTCACTTCTTCACAAAGACCATGAATTTTAAGAACTACTGGAAGAGAGAAAATCACCTGCTGCTGCTTGGCAACTTGCTCCCTTAACTTGCTAGCTTGCTTTCTTATAGCATCCATTCACCTTTTCGATTAAAAACAGCAACTTTCTAACTGTTAAAACAGAAAACGATGGAAGAAAGAAAGATATCATTGGCGAAAGGGGATTACCTTGATCTTTCACTAAGAAGGGATTGCAAAAAGGAAAGCTGGGAGGAGAGGGAACAGAAGAGAAGAGGAAATAAGAGAGGCCTGAGGGAGAACTGTAGAGAATATAAAGGTTGGGTTAGGACTATGAAAAGTGGCGTCTTTATGAGAGAATATGACGGGAAAAGCGTCTTTCTAATGGCTTCCACCGGACACGCGCTTGACTGACGGACTTGATTGCAACGCTTGCGAATTTGACAGGATATTCTATTATTGATGATCGCTCAAAATTTTTCCGCCAAAAACCTGCAATTTGTGAAATTACATATAACATTCTTTTAATAATACTTAATTCTCTTAAATGAGTTGTAAAAATATAACATATTCTCATTTTTTTTTCCAAAATTGATAAGTGATTTAAATTATAACTGTTATGTTTAATATGATAATAAAATTGATTAAATATATATTACAGTTGATTTGGAATTTTGTATTTGATGTAGTTTTTTTTTTATTTCATCTATTTTTGTTGCGCGCACACAAACCCACAAATACACTCATTTATACTGAAATACTGAATCAATATTCAATAGACGTAATTTAATCTCAAACTTTCTTCCTGCTCTTCCTGTGCATTTTCTTTGGTTTTCTCTCACACTAATCTGGGTCTAATCTTACAAATTAAAATGATTAAATAAACCAAATATGACAGAGCCAACTAAGGTGAACCCAATATTTTTTTAAAATAAAGTTTGAGTTTTATAAATGAAAAAATCACATTAGTAATAATCTTGATATTAAAAAACCAATCTGGGACAGCAGGTCAAATCAGGGAATTGATAAATGGCTGATCCGGCCTAGAATTTTAGACGAATTAGTCAAAAACATCCGTGTTAAAGTTGAAACAATGTTATTTTGAATTTTTTAAAAAATTATATTTATATTTATATTTCAGTAACTCTATTGTTTGTCAAAACAAACTCTATTTTATTAGTTTACGTATGATTTAAGCACGAATGTTCTGCTAAATTGTGAATTAATACTTCTGTATTTAAATATCACCTTTTTCAAAATTATATATACATATTATTATATATTTTAATTAAATCATATCATTATCACTATCATATTTACCAGCCGCAATACAGTGTTTGGTATTGAATAGGTTGGATGATGCTGGATGAATAGATAACAAGAAATACCAAAGGGGCAGTCCAAGAAAATAATTAAACGTGAGATGTAATATTTATAGGGAAAATTACAAAAAAAGACCGTCGAAATAAAAAAATTACACAGAGATTGGTTTATAAAAATTGTTTTCAAAACCTATACTAATATTATCATAGGTTTTTATTTATAATTTTTCTATTTAGGTGGCTTTTTTTGTTATTTGTCCTAATTTATATGATAAGCTTTGCGAACACTATTTTATTATTTTCCTCTAGCGTCACTGAGGCTATTTCACACCTAGAGATTCCAACATCAAACTCATAAATTCAAATATAACTTTTGACGACGACATTGTCGGCCCTATGACCTCTTAGACTCATAATCATAAATAAATAAATGTGTGTGCAGACACACTAGCGTGTATGTTATGTAAGGGAACTAATAATCAACATTATAATAACAAACCGACGAATTTTAAATAATGCCCCAGTTGTCAAGTTAGGCATACTTTTGATGCGCGTTATACAAAATTAAAAAGGGAAAAAAAAAAAAGAGCAAGAGGGTTGTACACTTGTACTGGTTATGATTTGTGATTTTACACGGACTAAGAAAGTTAGAGAAAATATCCCAAAAAAATAAAAGTAAAGTTAGAGAAACTAACTAATGATATTAATAATACAAAATTAAAAACATATATATTTATATCAAATTACAAATTGACTTATATTGTGAATGGGGAAGAAGTAAATAGAACGAGTTAAAACGTCACACCAAAACCAAAACATAGGGGACAGCTTTGAGAAAAGGGTTGCTATTAATTTCTATTTTTAATTGACACTGCATAAATACACTACTAATGCTGCATTTAATTATTTGGTTTCTACTTTCTACTGTTATTTTTCTTAATTTGTACCTTTTTTTTTTTCTTTTTTTTTTTTTGCTGCTTCATTGTGGAAAGAAGGCTGGAAGCTTTGACATGCATGGTAAAATAAACAGCATCAACATGTCTCCACTTATTATGCACAAGACGCATGAACTTACTAATCATCAACATGTGACAATTTTTATATATATCAAACCAAACTTTACTGAAAGAAAACAAAACCATAGTAAAACAACGCTAATTATTCAAATTAATGATCACAAGAAAGACTGCATATCATTTTGACATCATTGGATGCACTTTGTTCTGACTATGCCATAACTTATACAGCTAAAAGATAGGCTGATTCCTTTTCCAACTCCGTCCGTTCAGAGCACATGTCAATCGAATTCAAAGCACCAGATTCGCTAAAAATGAAATTTGCTTAATGCCAGATCTTGGGGTCACAGCCTAAACTAACACTTTTAGACAACGCATCAGTACGCATCCTTAATTTTTCCATCGAAGATCCTTTTTGCGATCTCAATGACAGGAATCTTAGAAGTGACATGAAGAAGACGTAGGGCTCAACCCCACAACACCTAACAACTCATGGCACATTCTCATTTCAAAGGGCAAAGCCAAAGAGATAACAAAGAATTGGACCATTTTCCGCAAATGTACTAGCTTGTCTATCCAAAACAGTGATAAATAGACTACATGGCGCAATTACAACAGGATGATTAGTTTGAAAAAGAAAACACGAAAAAAAAAATCGAAACAACAGAGAAACGGTCCGCACACGTCCTCATTGGTTGAATTCTTTTGCACAATATATTACAGTAGTGACAAGAATAATTTGAAAGGTGGGTGCCGCTCGATTTATACAAATTCATATACACTTAAATTCAGGAGAACGAATGCTGACTCGGATTTCACATCCTAGCAAGGGCTGAAGTTGGAATTTAAAAAGAGGGAGAAAAAAAATTCAACAAATGGGGATTTCATTCACGAAGACAAGAAAGGTTGACACGTCCGATTAGGACACGAGTTAGACGAACCAGAATTTCCTGTAATAAACGGGTGTGATGAAGGGCATGTCTCAAACTTTCAATCATAAATCTGCTTAAAAGAATGAACGCAATTCAGAGGAAGATGGCCCGGCCCCTTTTGCAGCTTCACTTTATGGCTTCCTTACTTGAAATAATGTCAGTGAATTGGATGCAAACTCAACATGCTATTGGTTTCTACTCGGTGTCGTAAAAATCACTTGGGCATGGGGTCATGACCTCTGATTCAAGCACCTGGACTACTCGATGCATGGTGGGTCGATCCTCTGGACTTGAAGAAACACACTGAATAGCTACAGAGAGCAAGGCATCGAGACTCTCTACTTGCACTCCCTCACATAAGGGATCAACAATCTCTCTTTGCCTATTTTCGGTAACGAGAAAATTCAGCTGTGAAGAAAGCAGAAGTGGCATTAGAATGGCAACTCTTGCTTTGCAATAACATAAGGAGCTACAAACTTGTGCACCCAAACAAGTAACTTCAAGAATTTTACAGTGAGGCATGCATGACGAAAGAAAGAAAGTTGAGTAACAGTGAACAATATTAAAGGCTGTCCAAGTTCTAAAACATACAAAGAGATGCAGATGCCAGCACCAAACAGAAAATTCGTTCAAGTGGGCAATAAATGGAAAAGAATAAAAGCAAGAACAAATTAATATAGGCATAATTATTTTAAAGAGGTGAACTGAGATATATTGTAATTGTAAATCAAAGTGTTTCTGAAAATATCCTCACAATTTGAATTTGGTTACTTGAGATGGAACAAGTTTTCACGGTCAACCCTCTTATTTCTTCAGTTAAAAGCAACAAAATCAACTGAGAACAATGGGATAAAAGCACATAAAGGAAAGAGAAGAAAGACATACATCACATTCAAATTAACAAGTTTATACTTAACAGACATCACATGGTGTGTAGGTCACAACACATAAACGCACCAACAGGGGAAAAAAACGAAGGAACAAAAATCTAAGAGAAAGTGAGTGTCATACCCAACCAACAATATTTAGACCCTTTTCAATGAACGACGCATCTGTTGGACGCTTCCCACTTAGCACTTCAAGTACCAAGACACCAAAACTGTAAACGTCAGTTTTTTCAGTTGCCCTACCACTTTGCATGTACTCTGCCAGAGAAACAGAGGCTTAATTAGAAAACTTAAAGAGTTGATATACAGAATTAATTGTCTAGTGCACATTCATATTTTGCATAGCTCACCGGGGGCTAGATATCCAAATGTTCCAGCAACAATGGTGGTAATATGAGATTCTTCATCCTCCAGAAGTTTGGCAAGCCCAAAATCAGAGACTCGAGCATCCAGGTTGCCATCAAGTAAAATATTGCTTGACTTTATGTCGCGGTGTATGACCCTTGGGGAACAATCATGGTGCAAATAGGCAAGCCCTTTTGCAGCTCCCATGATTATATTCAAGCGTGAATCCCAGTCTAGCTGCTCAGATTTTTCTGCACAACGCATCATAGAATGTCACTCTCCCAAATTATTGCTACTCATTGGCATATTTAAGATCAGCAGTAAGAGAATAACTAATGAAGAATAAGTGGGAAGGTCACAATTATTTAAGAATCAAACAAAAGCACAATGGTGTCAGGTCCCAACTGATATGAATCTTTGAGAGCACAATACCCCGAAAGCTAGCTCCAGAGATTGGAGACGGAGAGTCCGTAGTTAATACAAGCCTTTCCTTAGAATTCCATACTACAATGCGAGACTCAAGTCTCATGCCCTTGGAATTAAGTCACACTATCGCATTTTGTATCAAGCTCCATAATAGAGGGTGAAAGGCAGTGTAAGGCTCTAGACACGAACCTTCCACAGCGTTGTGCCCCAAAATCCAGCTCATGAAGTTGGAGCGCCCAAAATTCAAGTAAGTCCCACATCAGCATCCCATACACCGTATGTGGGATTCATGACCCATACCTTGCAATTGCGTCATAACACTTGCCCCTGTTCTATAAATAATCCCCCCACTGAATTTGAATTTCAAATCCATGAGTGTCTA